AGTTTTTCAAATATAATCAATTTCATTTTCCAAAGGATTGACACATGTCATCCATATGTCTGATGATGAGGAATTTGATGATTACCTTTGGTTAATATTTCTTCCAGTTCTTGTTTTCATTTACGCTAATTATATCATCACTATATAAGTAGCTGGTTTCTTAGTACTTTAGAATAGATCATCATTGTTTATTAATTGCCTAAGAGAACATGACTCATATGATCATTCACTATAGTTCCTATGTACTAGATCAGGTGTTATTCAGCTGATCCCTGTTTAAACTTATAATGAACCTTTTAAGTTTTGAATGTTTCATTTGTACACTGAATTTTTACAGTTTGTGTAATCTGTATTCATGTGACTCAAGCAAATAAACCTTATCAATTTACGTTACTCTTACATTTGATTGACAAAACTGAAGAGCTTTATTTTTAGTGATCATGTGAATTTTCTACAATCTATAATAGAAACAGTTTAATTTGATGTATGTTGATGACGAAATTAACAGTTTGGTGCCTTACGTCGGTTCATATGTTCAATTTGTACAATATACCTATGTTTATCTCTCCTTATTGTTTAGATATTTAAAGATAAGATCGTGCAGTTTATGTATAATTACTTGTTATTAATGATAGATATGTTGTTGGGTCATTCGAGAATATGAGCATTAACACTTGGGTTATTTGAATAAGGATCACTGACATTTTTATATCAGTCATTGTTGTGAATAAGAAGTAATGGAATTTTTTCACATTTACAGCATCTCATACACTAGTAAAATCTTCTTAATGATTAGGTAATAGTAGACTGAGTCTTACTTAATTAATTGGATGATCCAAATAATTTTTGGGGTAGTTTATTAGGTTTAAATGTTTTAGCTACTCCATTTATAGGTTAAAGTGAACGAACCAAGGCCTTGAAGGCAAGAAAATGTTTGCTATTCAGTGATCAATTAGCTTATAAACATTTGACATATTTGAGCATAAATTATGTATGAAACCCGTATGATATTTAGTGTTTAAACCTTAGAGACATTAATCGCTCACACTAGAAGATATTGATTACTTTACAAAGCAGATTTGTAGCATTACTTCCCCATTTGCAATACCAACAATTAGTTATTCAAACCATCTCGAAAATTAACTTTTATTAGAAAAATTAATGGTACCTTTTGTTGTAATAGGATCTTATGATTAACGATTGACTTTAATACATTTAACTGAATTGTTTAACATTTGAAGATATAGCTCTCTGTTCCAGTGATCTATTTACTAACACGAAACTGATTAAATTTAGCTCCGTTGTTAAAATTTATATATTTCTGTTTACACGTTTCAGATGTTGGTGGTATGAAATGGGCCCTTTAGTCAAGCCCAGTTTGTATTGAACTGAGCAGTAACTATGACTTAAGATACTGACATGTCCAAACGGGCTTCCTAAAAACGGACCATTTGATTAAATCTTTTTCACTTTCACTTATAAGTATGTCTAAGATAAGTAACTGGTTTCTCTTATCTTTTCTCCCAAATACATATGAATATATATATACCAGCTAAACTACAACATCTCCACATCTTCACACCAGATGACTCATAAACACGACAGCAAATCCTACTTTTAGCAATCTTAACATGATTTCATTATCTGTTTAGGCAATAGTCAACCTATGAACCATCTATTTATGTTTGATAACTTTAATGTTTGATTATATTCCTTGAAAAAACTTAAACCAAACTGTCGAGAAAAACATTGGATTTATTTTAAATTAAGCTGATGAGATGTTTGCAAACGTGATTTTCCTTCTTAATATCTCACATCAAATCAGGCCCCAACTACTGTGACACTATCTTTTTTTTAATTGAAATGTAGGCTTTCATACAATACACTGTATAATAAAGAGAAATAAATAGTGGATAAACGAATACATATGAGAATGTAAATAGGTGATTAAATTCCTAAATTATGGTTAAGTGAATTACAGATGTATAGTGATTTATTTATTTAACGCTATCTATTCGTAGCAAGGTAGATTATTTGCATACTTAGTTGAAAGGGGCTTGTTATAATTAAATTATTTTACTCAGATGTATAGTCCAATTGTACACTCAAAAGTGCTTTGACTTTAAATATGTAGTTAAAAGTGAACTAGAACGGTATGTTTATCACTCATAATGTTTTCCAGTAGTTCAGAGTTAACAATTAAAATAAATTAAACATTAAGCTTGAAAGGCATGAAAAGATAAGGTCAGGTTCTCCGCACATGTGTTAAGTGTTATCAACCTATTTTCGGAGTTCTTATCTTTCCGCTATAAAGTGAATGCTGGCTGTGTTAACTCTAATTTTCGCAATTTATATGCCTGTTCCTCATGCTTTATCACAGATACTCGCAATGTATCTTAATAGTTTGGTTTTTTTCTTGAGAATGCTAAATCGACCTTAATAGCGTTTCTCAAATCGATCGAATATCATATCAATAATTAAACACTGTTAATCAAGCTTACTTGTGAGAATCGTTAGACCTTTAGCTGAATAACAACGCCTAATCTCTCAACAACTCATAAAAACAACTTGCCATTAAAATGAATATCGACGCCTGCTGTCCATTTACTGAATACACACTGATATGAAGTTAACGTAAATTGTTGTTACATGATCGATAACTTTCCAGCAAAGGAATTCAAAGAATTTCATACTCACACCTTCCGAATTTATGGGTACTTTCATTCGAACTCCAATCATCACACTATCAATCTGCATGTTTATTTATTATACTTGGTTATGTAATCTATTTCACTGTAACCGTCGTCTCATAAAATATTATTGATTGATCAATGATGGGCGGGCAATGTCATATTTGTCAAGTTTCTCACAGGGCTGATTGAATTCGATCGATCACTAAGCAATATTAATGTATATTAAAGCCTGCTACCTGTAGACAATATTGTTCGTTTAAACAGCAATATGAATAATTTTGAGAAGTAAAAGAAAAATAATTTGACCAGAATAACATGAATTCATTTTGTTTTGTTTAGTCCTGTTTACAGCCTGTGATATTTAAAAATCTTAATGACAATATGAATACTGATGGTTCTGACCATATTGTTATGATTATACTGATGTTAATGCTTACACTGAAACCCTCATTCATAGTCTTACTGAGAATGCTAATAAGAATATAAAAAAATACAGTTGTTCTACAACTAATGATGATCATAAATATTTGTGATACCAGTAGGTTTGTCACTCACTATTTTTTCTAATAGTTTTGTACTTTACATAAATGCAAAATCATTTTCTTACCAAAAAAAAGTGAAACAAATTGATGTAAATTCGTTAGTGACACATTTTTATTTGAAACATTCAAGAGTTCTGACTAATATAGTTGAAGAGAAGCTTACACCTAGAAATCATCAGATGATCCATATAAGGATTGTAAAATTACGTAGTCTCTTTCAAAAGACAAAAGTATTTTGCAAACACAAAGTATTCTGAAAAAGTTGTTTAACAAACTGTCCACATCGATGATGTGAAACGCATGTTGGAATAGATTTTGTCTACTAATTTCTCAAAAGAATTTCAGTCTGATTTATTCTAACCATTAAACATAACAGATAAATTCACATAAGTCTTACATATTATCATAACTTTACTGAAATGAAAGGTAATTTGGAAATGGTTATAATGATACACTAATCACTGCAAGACTATAAGAACCTCTACATTTCACCTGTCTGTAAGTTGGAGTTTTACCGTCTTGAAATCCACTTTGGTTAGTCACATATATCAAGTTTCAAAATAAATTAAACATGCAAAAAATATTCGATATAATAGAAACAAAGATGATCCTATAGAGTGTAGTTACTCCCTTGACATCTTGGTTCAGTTTATGTCATGACAACCTGTCAACATATATAAGCAGGAATTGTTGTTCATTGAAGATTTCCCGTCACAGAAAGATCATCTGAAGAGAGAAAAGCGAAATCTGAATGAAAAAAGTCTTAACTTCGATGGTAAAGTTGTAGTGTTAGTATCACGAGGATATAGGGATGTTAGCTAGTCACGACTAGATCGTGATTTAATAGCAGTGCACTGAGAAAATAAAACAGATTTTAGTTTCCACTTGATTTCTGGTGACAGCATTTAGGCTTAAAATGTATGAAGCAGATGTAACAAAAGTCGTCATTCACATTCAATTTACAAACTACCTAGAAATATTAAGCTAAATTGGATCATTTGAAGTACTGGGGGTATACAGTCGATTTGAATATATTGAGAAATTATAAATATATTTTTAATTGCCAAGTCTGTCGCCTTAGAAAAACTATATATTAAATAGAACTAGACGGATTAACATTCAACAACAAGTCATCTCTGCAATAGCAAGGAAAATGATGCTATCAGTATGTGTCTAAATTTAATTATTAGCTAAAAGAGAATAATAAAATTTGTGAAGTGTCTGATTTCTGTATTTATTCACCACGAACTTATGTAACACTTATTAAGATATTATTTCAGCTTAAATCTCTATTTTTGAGAGCAGTGCGACAAATCTGTCTAGTTAAATTGATTAAAAAGGATCAATCATAAAACATCTTTTATGAGGCAAAATGCCTGAGATTAGAACATTGGAACATCAAATCAGTTTATAAAAATCTATGGTAATGATTTCCACTCATTACATGCATAGTTTCTATCCATTTTTCTTTTCTAATCTGTTTATCTCTATTCAATAAATTAGTCCATTTTTTACCTCTTTGCATTACATAATTCAAAATTCAGTTACTCTATAAACCGAGGGTATTATATTCAATTGGTTGACCGTTTTGGGATGAATCTTAAAACTTCAATATGAATACCAGAAGCAAAAAAAAAAAGAAAAAAATGTTTGTAACTAACCAAAACTGAATGATCTATTGTAATATGAAAATTTTTATTATAAAAAATATAAATATACATCAGTTTCATCTTTTTTTTTGTTACTATCTTAATAATTAAAAAATAATTTATTTATACATAATCTGTAAAAATGAATCAATGGAGTTAAATACATAAAATAAAGGACAAATGAACATTTTCATTACCTATGACTATAAGCCAAATAAACTATCATTAAGATCATAATGAATGAGAGAGGGGCGGGAATTTGTACCTGTTTAATTAAGTGTTCAATGAATAAAATGCATATTTCCTTAAATCCTTGTAAAGTTTTATCCCAATATTTTTCTTCTTTTAATTAAATGATGTAATAATAATGAATAGTTATGATATGGTTTTATCTTGTATGTACAATTCTTGCACCAAATTCTTCATATTCTTTCTTTTGTATATATATTTCTTTAAATGAACTCAATGAGGCTAAAATGGAACCACCAATCCATACAGCATATTTCTGATCATTTTGTTTTCTATGTACAAATATTCTTTGATTTACTGGTGAGTTCAACGCGTTCAATTCATTTTCTAAACGTTGTGAAAATCCAGGAAATAATGTACTACCACCACTTAATACAATGTTTGAATATAATGTTGGATGTAAATCAGCTGAACATTTTTGAATAGATTCATTAACGATATTTTGTAGTCCAGTTGTACCACTTAAACCTGCTTGTCTTGGATAAAATAATAATTCAGGTGCCATAAATCTTTCCTTAGTCAAACTTATAATATGACCATCTGGTGTTTGATGTACATTTTGTGCATTTGAAGTGGAATTGATTTGTTTTCTTTCATCATCTGGATTCAATGAAATAAAACAAAATTTTTCTTTTAAAAGCCGTGCAAAATCACGTGAGATAGATGTGGCTGCAACAGGATGTTCTTTCGCTAGCATATATCGAAATAATTCAGTTATATGAGATCCACCGAGATTTTGACGCCTTAAAGCATTCGGTATAAAAATTGTATTATTGACCGGTGTAATATTAGACATTTCTGTACCAACATCAACAACCAAACCGGATGTTAGCCCATACGCGTACAGAGCAAGTGCAGATTGATCTGTGAAGAATAAACCAGGCATATGAAATTTCTCAAAAACCATTTCTGCTAATTTTTCTCTGTTGAATTTAGGCAATAAAGGATATTCACTTATAAGAACTGGATGATTTTCCGGATTTGTACGTAGTTCCTTCATGAACATATAATACCAAACTAATGATAACCCGTCAATATCCGTTACAATTCCATTGGCAATAGGGCAATTAAGAATCAGTTCATTTCGAAGAACATTTGCATGTTCACCAACAAACCAGTCTGTATATTTTGAACATTTTGTTGGTCTACCTATTAACATTGGAATAAGAATTCTTGGTCCACCATCTCCAGCATAACCAGCTTTTAAATGTCCAGCTCCATTATCCACAACTATTGGCCAATCTTCTATTAATGCCATGTCTTTTATCTAAATAAGTAATAGTAACAAACAATTTGATTACTTCACTATTATTTATGAAACTTAAATTAAATAAAATAAGATTTACCAAGTAATTGTAATATAATAGTTAATCAACAACTTATCATAATAATAATAATCATTTTATTCATAATTAATTTTCACTTCAATATAACCTTGAATAAGCTTAACATGTGATCAATATTATTTACTCATTCATAGCTTATGATTGGCTATTTCATTTTACCTAATGGCAACACTTTTAAATGTGAATTAAATATTGAACTTAAGTTTGTTTTGTTTTTGTTTTTATTTATCTGGTAAAACTGAAATCTACTAATCACTGGATGGATACACAAATATCATTTTTTAATTTAGTTTCATGTTCTATCTATCTAAATATTTATGAGTAATCAATCGTTTTTTTTCAACACTTTTTATCATTCGATTAAAGCATACACATTACTATTATTATTATTATTATTACTCAAGGTTACATAGATATAGTAATAATAAAGTGAGTGGATACTTAAATTCATAATCAAAAATATAAAAATAAACGAACAGTAAGTAAATCAATAATTGATCTGATCACTACAATCATTACACTTTAGAAGGTTACAAAATTCTTAATTACTTCTTCAAGTATTTTCTCCTAATTTAACTATGAAAATAATTTGAAATAATAATGTTAATAATAATGAATGTACATAGTAATAAGGTATTGGTATGCAATGTAATACAATCATAAATAATATGATTGACAACTAACAAACCTTTACATTCATACAATAGACAAAATATTGATGATATTTGCACAATGAATTATTGTTTCATTTAAAAAGAATCTCATTCTAAGGGGCTGTAATATTGATTATATTGTATATAATCTATGTTCAAATTACTCACTATGTGTGTGTATATTATATTGGTTGTTCTGTTATGTCGACATTGTTGGAAATACAAAGATAAGAATCAACACATATGAATTGTGTCATTTAATCACACGTACACTCAAATATACACACAAAAAAAAATCTATTATGAATGATCGGTAAATTAGAAATGCTTCATTTTATAACTTGCTGACATATTATAATAAATAATGTTCACTAAACAATAAACTTAAACAGAAAGATAATACCTAGACAGGGCCGCATACATGTTTCTTTAGCTTTAAACCTATACAGTACAAAAGAAACCTGATCAGAACTCTGAGTTACCGAATACGTACTATTTGTTCTACAGATATAGTGGAAGAAGATGAAAACAGATACCCTGGAAAGTTCGTAAACAGTTATATGATAAAGAAGTCTAGAATAGACGAAATACAAGCAGTGAATAAGAAATCCTTGTTCATGAGGGGATGTTGCTAGCGAAATATCAAGTTAGAGATTACGCAGAACAATCCAAAGATCATTCAACGGCTGAGTACTACGATTAGTGTTTACTACTCGCCCAATCGTGACATCGAGGCTAAAAGATGAATTAGCTAGGATGACTAACTCATTTTGTATTTATCAGTTCAACTGCTCCTGTGCAACAACTTATATTCGTTGAAGCTCTAAGGATTTACATTTTCGTGCGCAGGAACACCTCCCAAAGTGACTAAACAAAGATTTATTGAAGAAAATGAACAGTTCGATATTGACGTATTTAGTGCAAGCATGTCATAGTGCCAGTATAAACCAATCCTTTTCAATTACTTATCGGATCAGTAAATTTTCCCCAGAGCTTGTCAGACTTAAAGTCCATCAAACGGCTGGAGCATTAGAGATTTGGATGAATAAACCGCAGCTATACGTACAAAAGAAATATCTTTAACCGCTTTTCCTCCCCTGGCCAAACTCAAGACCAACTGCATCACGAGGCAAGCCCTAATTCGGAATCATGAAGGGAAACGGAAGAGAAGGCCAAAGAATAAACTGAGTCGGGAATTGAAATCAGACATGAAAAGGATGACTAGCAACTGGGAAGGATTGCCCAGAACAGGGTAGGATGGAGAATGCTGGTGGGTGGCCTATGCCTCTCGGAGAGGGGCAACAGGCGTAAGTAAGTATATCGAGCCATTTAATTTGGTTGTTAAGTTGATTATGATTATTCAAATAACACCGGCCAATGATATTACTGTTTACAACTTGGTTATCTATTCGTGTAAACACCGTTATTCATTTTGTTGGAGTGTTGTTCTCTGAGCTGGATGATTTCGTCGTGGGGCTTTCATCGTTCCTCTGAACGACATCATCAGCACAATATTAAAAATTATCCAATAAAAAACATGTTTATATTAAAGTATTTGAATGTGTGTATTGTCACTCATAGTTTTGTAGTGTCATCATAACCTAACAAACATAATTATAATATTTATTGAAAATAGATCGTTGATTAATTATATTTAAGATATAGAAAAATACTTAAATTAAATTTTTGATAGAAATCCCAAAATAATAACTGGATTGCTAAATAAACTTCAAATGTCATTGATATGTATACATTTGTGTACCCTGTATAGTCTTAAGTTGTATGAAATTAACATTGTATGGTGTAAAAGATTTCCATCGTTCTAATAAAAGATGACAGCTAGATGGTGGTTGGAGGTAGTCAACAGGAAACCCTGGACCCGGGTTTCGTGCTACTTGGCCACATTGCAACATGATCGATAGCATTCGATCTGCACTAATAAGGACTAGACAAGCATGAGATTGATCACCACCCAGTGATCAATCAATTGTGAAAAGATAACAGCTAAATGACATTTTGTTGCCAATCGTCACTTCATAGTTATAATTACATCATATAAAATATCATTTTTAGCACGGCATTTATGTTATAATTTACCTTGTCCATTTAGTCCAAATAATCAGAATTATAAAAACAATTCGGTTGACTGTCCTGCAAATCAGGTGACTGATATCTTGTGATGGAAAACTAATATTGTTTATAGAATATAGATTAGTCCTAAATAATCAACATAGAAATATATAAACTTTTTTTCAAAGAAGAACTCTCAATCTGTAGCATTTTGAAAAAAAATAAGATCAGATCATCTATGTTTACAGTGTTACAAAGCAGAAAGATTTGCGGTTGGTCAGTAGTTCTGAGTAAAAACCAATCTAACAATGTTCCAATGTTTACCGTTAATTAGTCAACAAATTCGATGTCTTTTTTCCATCAAATGTTTGTTCAATAGTTTAGAAGAAAACAAATTCCTCATAACCACATCTTAAATGTAAAAACAATTCTCTTATCCTCAATTATTTACTTTATCTATAGGTCATAAATTAAAAGAAATTCTTAATGTTTCTGAATCAACAAATGACGAATAGAACAAAGACGTTTCTTCTGAATATATTTATATAGTACTAATCGGGTAGTGGTGTAACATAATAGTTATAGGATATCAAAATGATTATTAAACATAATACTGAATTATTAACTCAGTAAATCGAAAGAGGAGGAGTGTGACAAATATAAAGTAAATATTTATAAAAACTAAAACAAACTAGACAACATAATATTTATTAAGGGAGAATTAATAAAATATTTCATAATAGTCGTGTAACAATCAAGAGACGAATGATGAAAAATGTAAGAATACAAAGATAGAAGAAAATAGAAAATCGTGTGAATATTTTTTCAAAAGTATAAGGTTATTCAAAGTTCAGTCGAAATAAACCCCTTTGTCTATGAAGAAAGTGTAATAGATTTAGGATTATCTGAACGTGTTTTTTTTGTATTTACAGGCTGACTTCACCTAGTAGACCGTTGAAAATAATGGAGGAGTAGACATTAGTAGTTTCGAATCTTCATAAGAAAGAGAATGACTTTAACTAAGCACAATTCGAAATGACCACGACAGAATTTAACGACTGAGTTTGAATCTAATCCCATATTTTCAACGTCCGTCTAAGTACACTTTATCCTGTTTTAAAATACCTTAGGAACAGGTAACCCCAATTTTTCCCACAACATTTTGAATTAAATAATGGCCTAATGTCTTCGATTATATTCAGTAGATGAATCATTTACGTCTTTCTACATTTCCTTCTCAATATTAATGAACACTCAAACTCCACGTTAGTAGTTGAAGTAACAAATTTGCTGTAAGAAACGTTTAACTACTTAAAACTTATAAAAGTAGCTTAAGTAAGTTGTTAGAATTTTTAAGGATGAGAAAAATATTTGTACTGATAGTTATTTATTACGAATAAATCGGAATAAAATCATTAGTATTTTTTTGAAAAAACTAGGTGTGCTAAAACAACATCAAATCAAGAATTTTATGCTTAGTGTTTAAAACATTAAACATGAATTTAACAATTCAGAGCAACCGAATAAGTTAATCAAATAAGATAGTAAGCAATGATAATTAATTTATAGGTAGTTAATTCTAATGCATGACTATCTTTATGATAATGAGCGTATAATGAACGGGACAATAAACTGGATGAAAATTCAATGTCTGCATATAACTAGGCACACATAGTCATACCAATGACTAAAAAGTTAGCTTCTTATGGTCCGTCACTTTCGTACTTCAGTCTTCTTTTATAAGTCCTAAATGATACAGACTTAGTGTGGTCTCTACTTATCCACATTTTTTGAATGCCTTTAGAATTACTTTTTCAACAAAAAGTTCTCAGAATCCCTTTTAATATGTTGGAATTATGAAAAATTACGAATCCTCTTGAAAATATAGCCATTAAGTATCTAGTAATGTTGAAAAAAATTGATATCGAATGTAAAAAGGTGCGACTATAGTAACTCCATATCCTAGTGTACAGCATTTTATATTTTACAGTAGCAGATTATGAGTTTGATTTTCAGAGGAAATGAAAGCATACTGATATGTAGGTTCACCCATCGATAAGTTCTTAACAGATCAAAACGCATGATCTGAGTAAAAACACGAGTCGTAACTAGAGAAACTGTTCTCTCTTTGTTGAAGTTATTGATAGTTATTCTGAAATCATAGTTTTCATCCATCAAGTATTTACTAACAACGCTTTGTTTAATTGTTCCATATCATTAACACGTCAAGACTCTTTCTACTGAACTATTAGTAGTCTTTTCTTTTTCAGTAATATTACCATTTATAAATTTACATTTCTGAATACTTGGGTGATTCATTCTCATGTCAACCAGTTCCGTCGCCAGAGGCGTTAACAGTGATCTGGAAACACTACAAAAATTATGAATATTCCAATAAACGTCTACATATCAAGCAATATTAAGACGCTTTAACAAAATTAAGAAAAGATGATCCCTCAGTTACCAGATAAAGAAGGTGGTATAATTCTTAAGTCTTAACCTTAATAGATTAATAAAATGAATGCAATATTCATCCTAGATTTCAAAAACTTATTGACAATGAAGATATCAACGAGAACGTAGGGAAATAGCTGAATAATTCTCTTAGAGAGCTTAAACTAAAGGGGATAATTTTTTTTTATCTTTATGATTCACTTAAACCAAATGGGCCAAACACACCACGACTCTATGGTCTGCCTAAAGTTTAAAAGTTGATTCTTCCTCTCCATCTATTTTTAGATTTGTACACTATTCATATTCAAAAATTGCTGACTGATTAGTTTAAATTTTATCACCTCTATACAAATTAGTCATAAGAAAGAGAGTCAAAAACGTTTATGAACTCATTTCCAGAATAGAAGATGTGAAGGTTAGTAGATAATATGAATTTTCGTCAATATGCCACCAGATGAGACAGTCGAAATTACATGTAAAAAAATTTCACAACAATAAATCAACACTGGTTTCCTCAGGAATAGTCTTAAGGAGTTGCTTCTAAGGTATATGATGAGCGTTCATTTTGTCTTCAGTAATATTTATTATAATTAGTATAGAGTTTTATGAAGATTATAGGACTTTCAAGTTGAAATCACGAACTGATGCTAGTTAGACCTCTAGTGAAACTAATAAGCACTGGACAGCCGTTTAGTTCGATTATCAAAATCCTCAGTAGTGCTCATCCACGAACCAAAAAGCTTCAGTCTTGTACACGAACGCTTAATCCCTAGACTTCTAGATAAATTGACGTAATAGCTATGGGCTCACATTTAAGGCTAAGTTTAACTGGTTTCTTCGTAGCACACTTAAAACATAGACCACCATTAGATTATCGATAAACTAGATCTATACTATTGTTACATAAGCTACGAATTCATCATCATAAATCAGAATATTAACAAACAACGACTCCTAAATCATTTTAATGGAGTACACTCGATAACCAATTTCTTTGGTAAGAACAAGCATGATGACCAATTAAATTTTCTTGACATTTTATTAAATCAACCGGCTGACGGCTCGTTAAGTAGATGCCTATGCAAATAGAGTTCCTCTGCGTGTCAAAACACATATTTCTATATTCTTACACCGATACACTACCAAATAGATCTGTTCAGATATGTTAAAAGCAGAACAAAGACGGTCTGCTCAGATGATGTGACAAATAAGGAGTTAGAGTTGATTAATAACATGCTGACGTAAATAAGCTATCTGGAAAGTTTTCAAAGAATTGTGTTTGCAGGCAAAAAGAATTTAGAGATATGGATGGCTCTTAAGAAAACCTTTTCCCTAAAATTAAAATTCAAAGGTGATGCAGCCAGAAATACCCTACATGAGATATTTTGCACAGCGATTCTCACATTGGCATTTTCTAATCGACCATCAACATTGATCAAAACAAAGAATTAATTATCAGAGTTCGCCTCTTCGATGTGCATCTACAAATTCAGCTGTTCCTGCTAAAATATTGGGTGTATTACCAAACAACTTAGCTAATGAATGAGTGAATATCTCTCAGCTTAGTTTGGAAAGAGCCAAACAAAGACAATCTGCAGCTCTATCTTATGAGGATCCATATTAGTTTAAATCTTCAAACAGGATACGGAACCTAATCTACTTTTTCTGGATTGACTATAGTTATTTATTTCCTTGACAGAACAGATTAGTAACAGCCTACTGTGGGAGTGAACAAACCAGCTTCCAGTTGAAGAGGAAATTAGTAAAAGACGATGGAAATGGATAGGACATACATTACGGGAATCATCAAGCTGCATCACGAGGCAGGCCCTAACTCGGAATCCTGAAGTGAAGCGGAAAAGAGGAAGGCCGAAGAACACACTACGTCGGGAAATAGAATCAAATATGAAAAGGATAGACACCAACTGGAAAGGATTGCCCAGGGCAGGGTTAGATAGAGAATGCTGATGAGCGCCTATGCTTCTTCATGAGAAGTAACAGGCGTAAGTCGGTGAGTAAGTACAGATGATTTGATAAAATACTTTTACGGTCGAAATAGTAAAATACAAAGTTGTAACTAACAAAATAAGTGTTTTTTGATCTGTTTT